CTGTGGATTCAGAAGTTTGAAATCAATTGCTCCTTTGATGTTCCACCAAATGCAAAGCACCACTTTCTGCATATGGAGTCCTGATTTTTGGGTCAGAAGTAGTTTTTGTCTGAGACTAAGTCATTGTTTTTAGCATTTAATATTTGCATAGAGAATCCATTTTTCATCAGTGGTGACAATTCTGTCCAAGAATTGTTCATACGCATTACACGCCAGAAGAAACGAAATAAATTCACATGTCGGAAACAATGATCATTGGAGAGTTCCTGAGGCATTCAAACACCTTCTTTAAGGAGTTTTCTCATATTACTTAGATGTTTACGTATTGTTTCATGAGAGACATACAATTTCAGGGCCATTTGTTGCTCTATACTGGCTCTATACTACCATAGAGGATGAGGATGAGCTGGTTATGAACACAAAAGGCTCTTGCAAAAGCTTGATAGATCATATGTCACACAACCATGGTTAGCCACTAATTAACTGCTGAATTGGAGAACCAGTCAAAGGCTCTAGTTTCCAAAAAATACTGTATAATTATATTCTTTCTTTTTATATTTTATTGTTATTATTCTTTTTTGTTTTTTTTTCTTCTAGATACCTGTATGTATGCCAATATTCATAATGTTAGGAAAACACATAGGTTCAAGAAACCAAACACAATACGCACAAATTTATTCAGTCAAATATTGACCTTTACACAACATACACCAACAAACTGAGCAAACTACTCAAAATACTTAAAAATAAGAACTATTAATTTTAAACTTATTCCCTCAAACCCTTTGTCATGAGGCAATGCAACTTACTGCAGAAATTATTTCACAAGACCACAAATAGGGAATCAACATAAAACGAAACACCTAATCGTATTGTTACAACTATTCACATTTATTGACTTTCAATACAGAGATTTGTACTTCTTTCAGTTACATGAATTTGTCATGTGAAATCCATTATCATATACTCTGGCCACTCTTTTCTTATACTGCATAGAACAACACACCATATTAACTTCTTCATATAATCTTGCATTTTGGTTTAAATATGTTGATGATGTTTTTTGCAGCATTACTTGTTAAGATGAATAAACAAACACAAACAAACTACACAAAGACATACAATTCACAGCTGAAAATGAAAATAACTATAAAAAAAAACATTTTAAATGTTAACATCTCATGAATCCCCCAAAACTTCACCACTAAAATTCATAGAAAAAAAACATATTCTGCAGAAATTACATAAACTGGTTTTCTAAACATGTAATCCACCAGAAGCTAGGCACTCTAAAAAGCCTCCTAAATTTAACATACTCTATATGCACCACAGAAAACATCAATGGTGAAACTGCATGCTTAACTCAATGTTTTAACATAAACCAATTCCCTACTACAATAATTATACAAAATATAAATGAATTTTAAAAAATAAAGACAAGACACATTTAATAAACAAACTCAGAAAACACTTCACAAAACAAAGGAAACCTAATCACTTGCCGTATATAGAAAATGTCAGTATACCTCTATCAGAAAATTAGAAAATACTAGCACATAAATACAACCTTAACATAATAACTAGATTCATTTTCATCCCTAAAATGAAAAATTGAACACTTGCTAAGAAAATTATATAATGAACCCACCCCACCAGGAACATTTACAAAATAAAGTGTAACAACTGTCTAGCCTTTTACATAAGTGAAATAAGATGTAAAGTAAACATCAGGTTGAAACATCCACAGTTTTTCTGAACAGAATATCATCATACTAAAACATGAACCAGATATTAACCCTATCGGCACCGGTACCCTTTACTGTGCATGACACAAGGTTTTAGTTTCTTACATTCAAAATGTTCTTAAACTACTTTTTATTTAGGTTATACCAATTAGAATAGCATAAAATCTTAGCCAATAATCCATATTTTAAAAGTATACAAATTTTAAGTTCTTAATTTTGAAAGGAAATATATAAAAAAATCCTGAATTTCCACTAGTGTAACACACAACAAATTTTGTCTTAGCATGTCATCATCTCTATTTTATCCATCATCCCTCGAAAATGTATGAAATTAAACGTAAAATGCTCTCTATAAAATCATTATTGCCCAAACAGACCAGAATTTCTATGGCTTTCAATTTTGTTTTGTTACAGAGCTATCAAAGAGAAAATCAGACCCCTCCAGCCACATTCACCTGTCACATCCTCTCTTTCACAATTGGTTGATAGTTCTCTCTTACATTTCATTATATATTATTTACAACCAATAGAAAGTCAAGGTTTTCATCTATCAAGTGGTGTACTGTATAACATTGTGTTTTGAACAGATAACCGTCAATGTCACTCTGAGTAGCAACATCGTTCCCATGGGAAAGTTAACGACTAGCTTGGATGAATTTCTAATGGGTCTTGTCGTATAGTTAGAAAGCCAGAAAAATTTTTAGAAGTGAATTTGTCTACTTTTTGCATGTTATTAGTCTATATTATTTGGTGTATTATTTAATTAAATAAAAATTGTTAAATGCTTTACTATAATAACTCAAAAAATCAGGCTTAACTCTCATCAACAATCGAGGTCTAGAAAAAAG